CGGAACTCGAAGCGTAACACCAGTGATTTGCGGCTGTTTGATTTAAGGCCCATCGCGGATTTACGGCCGCCGTAAGAATACATACAAAAAATTGCCCGAGTTTATAAATAAAACACTAACTAATTTATTCATTAACCGTTTGAGTCCCGAGCAGCGCGATCGCGCTGTTGAGATTTTATGTCGAGAAAACCCAGCACATTTCGAACATTGTGGACAACTGACGGTGCGTTACCGATCGTCGAAGCGCGCTCAGATTTACCGAAGCAGGTACATCACACGGCTCCTTTTAATGTAAATAGTACATTTTACAATAGGTAGAATAATACTATAATAATGCAATAATACGTTACAAAATAAAAATTTTTAATTCATTATTATTGCGCCGCTTGGTATTTCTCGACATAAAATAAAACAAGCACTATATCGCGCTGCTTGGGTCTTTTCGTACTCATTTACAGAAAGCGCGGTTGCGCTGTTTGGGATTCTTCGACAGTGTATTTTCAATACCCCCTGGGACTCAAACGATTAACACGTTGAATGCCTCGCCGGTTTTACAGAAATTGTCCGTGGCGCCACGATGAATTTTCTTTTATGCGATACATATAATGTTGAAATATTATCTGCAATAGATAAGTTACAGTGTATAACCATGTTTGACATATTAATTGCGACAGGGGTCACTGTTTGAATCGACGATGGTAATAATACAAAATTTTAGATATTGACATTTGTTTTAAATTATATATATTTCTATCAATTTGGGCGCGCCGGTCACCGGTGGCCCCCATGGCGTCACCGCCAAATTAAGCGCCGGTCACCGGTGACCCCCGTGGCATTCAACGTGTTAAACATTGATTTTGTCTCAAATAATATTCTTTATTATCCGTTCGTACGACCGGAACGTACTAAAATTAACAACACCACGATCTTCAAAAAAAAAACAAACAGTGATATAGTTGGTGAGCGACGCTTTCATCAGTTTTCGAAGCGATATTCGGCGGATTGTTGACTTTTGTTTCCCCGTCGCACTCGTAAACTCATGTTTCGTCAGCGGTTATGCGCGCGTTTCACGAACGCGGAGTCATTAGAAATCGGCGCAAGAAACGTCGTTAGAAAGGCGAAAATTTAGACGAATTCTTTGCTCGGCGACTTTTTACACGAACCGTGAACTAAACTGTAAACGCAATGATTAGCGAACCACCATTGAACTTGGCGTCACAAACGATTACGGTGGCGCCTATTTGCATAGAAAAAACGATGTGAAATTGGAGAACGATTTTCCGATGTTCGAACGGTTTCGGATTTCGTCGAATGAAACTGCAGCCGACGTTCCTGAAAGTTCCGAGTGCTCGCGTAAAAAAGATTCAATAAGCCATAACGCCGTCGATAACGCGTTCGCGGAGCCGATTTCCCGGCCGCGCGGCGATCTGTCCGCGCGAAACTATGTACAATTACCGTTTTAATCTGCAGTTTCTAGCGCCATAAATTCCCGCGAGTTTACACCGACACCGACACCGACACCGACAAAGGGAGCGCGAGGCGCAAGGGCGCGGGGGAGAGACGGCACTGGGAAGTTCGCGTGATGAAATTTATTGCTGGAGCCAATTCCGCGCAAATGGAAGAACGTCTATGAGGTTTTATTCCGCCGCGGCGCTATCGACAGCTTCAATCGGGCCTCCTCCGGCTTCGCTCTTTCGGTTATCGGCGAGTCGCCGCTCCGCGCCGCGCCGCGCCGCGCCGACGTCCGAGGCACAATTAATTGCCGCACTGGTTCACGGGCTTCCCATTGGAAATGCTCAAAACGCCGTTTTTCTATACGCTCGCAATCGAAGCCCCGCCGAGCGCCGCGAAATCATATCGAGACACGTTCGAATCGATTCGAGAGAACAACAGGCATCCGGTCGATTCAGAATAGGCAGAATTAGAACGTCTCGAGGAGCCCGTCGAGAGGCTCGGCAAGAAATCCCAGGTTCCAAGTAAAAAATGCTCGATGCGATTTAATGATCGTACATAGTTTGATTGCTTTCAGTTAGCCGCGTCGCAATGAACGCGCGTTGAGAATCATTAGATTATGCAGAACAGCTGCTGCGGCAGTTATTGATCGCTTGTAGAGATCATCGGGCCTTACATTCTATTGCACAAGGAAACGTGTTGCAGAAAATAATGTTTCGAACGTTGCTTTAGGCGATTCTAGCATCGAGAATCTAGGCTGTTGTTCCAGCGATAACAGCCGACCAATCAATTAACCCCTTGCAATATCCATCATTCAGACATTCTGCTCTTATTACGGTTACCATCCTAATTTATCCCATTCTTTATTAGTCCCCTTTTGCATCATCATTTTAGCAACGTTAATACTTGTGTACTTGTACTACTTCTTTCTCAGTTTTTGTATTGTATTATTATACATATATGTATATGTACGCTATAATATCCTGTCGAAGATAACCTACTAAATATAATAATAATTTTATTCTTATAGACAGGTAAAGCCTATTGCCACAAGAAAAGAATAATAAAGAACAAAAAATAAGTACGAATAAAAACTGCGATTCTATATAGGTAACAGTCACACGACTACAATAGAAGAGTATATATATATATATATTCTGTTATTGTACTCATATATTTATATTATTTATAACTTAATATATTTATATATTCTTTTATTGCACTCACATGTGACGGTTACCTACATAGAATCCCTTTTTTGTGACAAAAGGTTTTACCCGTCTATATGTATAAAATTATTATTATATTTAGTAGATGCTCTTCGACAGGATATCGTAGTGCAGGGGATACTTCGAAATTGCTGTACAATTTTGCAAATATTCCATCGAATCCGGATATCGAAGAATCTCCGGTTAAAAAGCCGGGCAACTAATTTCCCGGCAGGCCGATAAATCAGGGTGCTTTAAAAAGTAGCGAAGCCCGATAAGGAACACGTATCCCCGTAATTTGCAGAGGAGGATATACAGAAGTTTGCAACGGGGGCCGCAGATCTGGTCGCGCGGCACAGGCGAGGAAGACAACGGCCGATGGAAACGAACGTTCACGGTTTCCATCGATCCCCAGCAAAGATATCGATCCCCTTCGCCGGGGCGGATGAGGTGGCAGGCGCGCGAGACGGTGCGGCGCGGAGCGGAGCGGCGCGGAGCGGAAGTCCGCGCGATGAAATTTACGGCTGGAGCCAATTCCGCGCAAATGGAAGAGCATCTATGAGGTTTTATTCGGGCTCCCGCTTATCGGCATCCCCTATCGGCAGGCATTTGTTTTTGCTTATCGCCGGAGAGTGGGAGTCCGCGCGTCAACGGGGGCCACCGTAAATATGACGGACGGACGCGACGATGGGATCTCAGCGCCGTCAGAACAAACGAGCGTCCGCGGACAAGCGCCCCCGAAAATCTCGACGGCTCGATTTAGGGGGATGAACGACCGAGAACCAAAACCAGAGAGCGGAGAGCCTCTCTGCGCCGTGCCACGTTGCTTCGACGACGAATCGATATACCTGGCTGCTGCGCGAGCTATCCAAATACACCGGGGAAAGAGATGTCCAGAACCTACTACGCCTTCCTACGCCTTCCTCCGCATCCCCTGATCCTGCTATACCCCTTTCTCTCTTCATCTAACAAACAGAAAATATTCAATTTCATAGGTACATAATTCTGCGACCGAGATTTAGAACTAATCTCATCTCATTGATTCGACAAGCATAAAATTTGATATATTTTTGGATTCTCCGTTCTGCTAAAAGACAACTAAAAGACAACTGTTATTTCGATCGTTTTATTTGTGTTATTGTCGTCCTCCGATTCATCTTATAATTTAACCTCTCGCTGAATTCACGCTCCTTATATCGTAATTCTTGAGACTGTACATTCTGGTGCTTTGTGGATAGTTGCAAGATCTGTTTATTCAGGTGTATATTGTTATAGAAATTGTACAGTGTCTTAATAAATGCGGTCTGATTATTTTTAGAAGAATATGCACTCGAAGCCATTTTAACTGTAAATCTAAACCAATTTCTCTGACTTATAGTACTTCCATTTTGTATGACAAAGTGCATTCTATGCATATGAAATTGAGTCTTGTGGTGACCCGTAACAATAGTTACACTTTTAATGATTTTTTAAATCTAGACTTTGTTAATATAAAAATGATTTTGGAACGTGATACAACAATTTTAGTGGTGCTTCAGAGTCACCACTCGAGTGCAAATGGTTAATTATATTCTTGTGAGACAAACTTGTTAGCTTGGTTAAACAGGTTCACTCCAATTTACTCCAACTCGACTATCAAATCGTGTTGTTGTGTTAAGAAACCGTCGTATGGAAAATTCAACCTCGCCAGAAGACAACAGCGAGGCTCGAAGATTCCAGGATTGTACGAACCCGATATCAATTTACGATTGTGGCAGCGGAGCACGGATTGCTCTCGAGCGGCATAAAAATCGACGCAGCTCCGAGGAGAGGCAGGATCAATAACAGGGAACGAGAAGGAGGAGGATCGAAAATTCCCTCGGCGAGTCTGCATTTTTTGAGTCTTAATCACCGGCTCTAATTGGTCAATTACGCTCATTACCGTCTCCGATGTAGAGAAGCGAGTCGCGCGATAAAATCTCTCCCTCCCAGTTCGCTCTCTGCGAGCCTAGTTAGCCCCACCTGGGATCGCGAACGGTAATCCCTGCCCTCCGTGCCTCCCCTGAGCGCGGCCGGGTGGCATTCGCGACAGAGAAACTTATCCCTGGCAGGAAAAATCGGTCTCGGCTCTCGACTCCCGACTCGAGTCGGTTCTGCCGCGGAGGAAGCACGGCCGGATGGGCGGAGCACGCCGGGCCATGCCCCTTCTGGCTCCGAAGGCCTCGCCCACTTTTGGATTTCCCCTTTCTCGCGCTCTCTCCCCCACCACGAGGCTCGTTCGTCTCTTTCCGACCAACGAGTCCCCCACTAGCGCGGCGCCTCCACCCGCAAAACGAAAAAGTCGGAGCGCCGCGACCGGCGATGGTCAAAGTCAGTCCACACGGAGAGCTCGAGTCGAGTAGAGGCTAGTCAAGCAGGTCAGCTGCTCGGAGATCCATCGATCCGTCGATCCCGGCACCTGTCAAACGCGCGACAGACCACAGTGACGAAAAACCCCCCAGCCGTTGACCCGCGCGCTCCCCTCAAACTCTATCGACCGGTGACGATATCCATCCGGAGCGGACAGTTTGTGAGCGCCGATTTTTTGATCCGGGACTATGAGAGACTAACCGGCGGAAGAGCGACGCCGCAGTGATTCAGTGAAGAGCATAGGGTTCCTCGAGGGTGTCGAACCGCGGTCCGAGAATGACAGTAATAAGGATGACCTCCCCGGTGACGCCTCCATCGACCAGTCCAGGCTCGAACGAGGCTCAGGCCCCGCAGCCGACCTCGAAGCCGGTGCACCGGCTGAGCTTCTCCGTCGCCGCGCTCCTGGCCGACACGAAGAAGCCGGACTCCAGGCAGGAGACGTCCTCGGTGTCGCCTCGGTCCTCGCCGGTGGCCTCCTACTCGCCCATCAGACAGGAGCAACTGATCCCTTCGAACCTGCACAGGTACCCGGCCGACTTCAGATCGAGATACCTGTCGGTGTCGCCCGGAATCAACGATCCCAGGTCGAGGCAGTACACCGCGTGCGAGACGAGAAGCTCCACCGACGCCAGAGTGCTTTCCAGGTACTCGGAAAGCGAGTCGGAGAGGATAGAGTCCCCCGGGAGCAGGTCCACGCCCAGGACGCTCGACTACATCGGTCAAACCTCGACGGACTCGGTGTCGACGTCCGACGTCGCATGTTCCTCGTCGCCGAAGGTGTCCACAGCCAGCCAGCCGGACTTTGGCCCGCAGAGCCCGAGGAGTAGCTCCCACGAAGCCAGGTCCAGGTGCTCGGAGACCGAGGACGTCGAAGAGGAAGACGAGAACAGTCTGGTCGACGTCGAGGATCTGCAGTACCAGCACCACGGGACCAGTCCCACGCCTGTCCGCCCGACGCCCGCCTACATCGGAGGATTTTCCAGCCTGGGGAACATCCCTGGCATCCCGCCGAGCCTCCATCCGGCGGTTTGGGGTGGCGGACATCAGGGTGCAGCCGCAGCCGCGGCCGCGGCAGCCGCGGTCGCTACCGCGGGCTTCTTCCCCTCGCACTTCGCTCATCACGGGCCGCTAAACGGTGAGTTCTCGCTCCCAGGATGCTCGGTCTCGCTTTGTCTTCCTCCGTTTTGCTCCGTTTTCCTCCGTTTTCGCCCGTTTTGCTCTGTTTTCCACGGCTTTTGCTCCGGCTTTTGCTCGTTTTGCTCGGCCGCTCGCCGGATCGCTATTTGCCATTTGCTTGGGCGACGACAGACCGCGCTCGGCTCGCCTTTGAGATCACTCTGGCCGGCCGCCAATCGACACGATCTTTGTCGTGGGATTCTTTTCGTGGTTCGCGGCGAGCACAGGCCCGAAACTGGTCCGATCGTAAACTCGTTAAGCCGGCCCCGACCCCGGCCATCCGGTCTGGAACTCTGATCGTGAATGCGGCCCGCGACTTTCGTTCAATGAACAACCCGACGGCACCGGCATTCTTTGCTTTTCTCGGCGTACGGCCGGGTATTTTTGGGAGGACCGCCTCGCCGACACGCTCGGACGGAAGTCGGGTCAGATCCGCCAGAACCCGCGATTCCTTTCCTCGTCTATTTTCGCGGCGGACGCGACAGCGTTTCCGCTGCGGCGTGGACAAGCGGCACCGGTCTCCGTTCTTCGTCCGACCGGTCTTATCATCGACGCTCGGTTTTTAGTCGTTTTAAGGCGGCAGCGCACTCGGCGGCGTAGTCTTTCCTCCGATTAATTATTTCCTGCTAACGAGTTTGACGCCGTTGAGAACCGAGGATCGGTAGATCAAGCTTTGTTACGCGTTCATATAACTTTTACGGGCAATGGTGTGGCAGTTTACATGCTCGTATTTTAAAAGCCTACGGGAGAATTCGGTTACGAGAGAATACGGTGGTCTTGTAGTTAGTTACAATATCTGCTTGGAGATTAGAGCAATCGAAGAGTACCGATGTAGTGCCGGAATTAACGGAAAATTATTTGATACAACGATCCGCGAGCTAGGCTACACGAACTTGGACTGCAATAAGACGAAAATGTAATCGCTCGGGTCAGCTAATACAGCCGCCCCGCACTTTCTCCTGCTACGAATAGTCGCACGAATAAACTGGGAAACGGAAGAGGACAATGGTGCCAAGACAGCGGCAGCGGTAAATAGGGCAAAAAGGTTAACGGTTTGAAATTAATTAGAAAATAGCGTCGCGGGATTCCAGGCCAATTACACGGCTCGCGAGCGGTCCGAGAATATTTCCGAGAGCTCGCCGAGCTCGGCGACGATATTTCAAACGGTCGGTTTCGAAAAGAGAATCGATGGCCGCGCGCTAATTGATAAATTGAGACTGTCGATCAAACCGCAGCCGGCCGCCGCAGCGCCGCGCCGGTTTATATTTGCAATTCAATCGCGCGACACGAAACCTACTCACCTAAAATCACCGGGAAAGGAATGCAGTTCTCGGAACGCGCGCGCGTCTCGCCGCGCCGGGATGACTCGTCGCGATTGAATCATCGTTAACACTAATTATTGAGGTCGCGGCTTGATAATTGCGAGGGGCTCTCGTTAAAGAGGCAATCAAAGTTTTCTCGCCGTCGTTGTCGGCACGACGAACGCACGCAGGCTCGCACGAAACAGTGGCTCGGTTCTTGTCGCGGCGCCGAGGAATCCAGACGACACGGACAATGGACGATTATTGGAAAAAAGGCGGTGCAACCGTGCGCTACCGTGGCCCGATAGCCGGTCCACGTTGTCCGCAACAAAATAGACTATTTTATAGCCCCATTATCCGGTTTAATTGGACTTCGCGAACACCTACGCTCCGGCTTGGAAATTCGATCGCCCACTGAATCTGAAACGTCCTGTACGTTGCTCGCTGGTGTTTCTAAACGACAGAGGGAGGGAGAGAGAGAGAGAGAGAGAGAGAGAGAGAGAGAGAGAGAGAGAGAGAGAGAGAG